TCATATGCCCCCACAACCTTCTCCTCTCCAGACTGAAGTTGCAGCATTTTTAGTCTTTCCTGATAAGGTCTGTGTCCATCACCTTGAGCATTAGTTGTCTTCCACAGGGAAGACAGCTCTGGATCAGGTCTGTCTTTACTTCTTCTGATGTGGAGACTAGGGCTCCATACAGTTCTCAAGTAATGGGCTCACACAGGTTTTATATGGCAGCAAAATGATGCCCTCTGTGTTATTCTTTGTTCTTCCTGCTGATGTCCAACACTACTTGGCTTTTTGAGTTGCTGCTGCATATTAAACCAAATACTTCAGAGGAATGCCAATCATGCCCAAACTACTTTCCTGGGTTGCAAAGGCAAGTTCCCTATTTAGCATTGTGTAGGCCTGGTTAAGAGTTATTTTTTCCCCTTCTAGATGCCTTATCTTACATCCACACTGAAGTTGGCTAATCAAATTCTTGCCCAGTTAAGTCAGATCTGTGAGCTCTTTCAGGAGTTTGTCACCATCAGTACTGAATTTCACTGTCTAAAGGATCTTACTATGAGCTATGAACTTGGAGATTTCAGTGTATGTTACCTTTTATAGATGATAATAATAATAATAATAACAATAATAATAATAATAAATTGGTCCAAGCACTCATCCATGGAGAACTACACTTGTAATTTTTTTTTCACGGTAAAAATCTGTAAAACTCTGTCCTTTGTTTTCTGTTGTCTAACCAGCTTTCAGTCCACAAATAAACCTTTTTCTTCAGTCCCATGACACCTTTGCTTCTTTAATAACATTGCTATGGAATGTTATTGGAAGGCATTTGGTAAACTTATGTATATTCATATCCCTTTTATTTACATGCATGCTGACAGCTTTGTAAAATTAGAGAAAACTAATCATACAGGATTCCCCATTGAAGAAACGCTGCTGACTTCTGCAACAATCTTTATCTGTGTGCTCTGTTAGTCTTTAATTTACCACCTTGCAGGGATAGCAATCAACCTTCCCAGTCTACAGCTCATTTTTGTAAGTGGCTTTTCTCCAGATGACTGTTTCTAGCTTTACACCAAGAAAAAGTATTATCTGTGGGTACCTTTATCTGAGAACAATTAAGAAAATACGTTTTTTTAAACTATTCTCTGAACATGCCTTGAAGCCCTGGTTCCTAATATAGGTTGAGAGCTAGATGGAATTCATGGCTTGGGTTTGGAAAGTTTTAGCTGAGCTCTGACTTTTACAGAAGATATTCCTTTGAAAAATGAAAATATAACCAATAAAAATGTCTCTCTCCTGTATTGTTTACTCAGGTTGGAAGCCTAATGATATCTTGTCCTCTTTCCATTTTTCATGAGTAGTGATCAGTTTTACCAATCAGAGATTACACAGAAGTCCATAAATGAGGGATGTCATGGTTTTATAGCAATATAATACATGGCAGCTCATCTGTAAAGGCACCCATTTTCACCACTACAACCTCTGAGTACCACAGTACTAAAAATAGTACTGTAATGGTGAAAATGCTGTAATCATTGACATTTTTTAATTTCCTTCATGGCTGAATGAGAGGCTAGAGAGGTTTTAGTCAACACTTCATTCTCTGTTTTGTAAACCAATCAATTGCTTCTTCAATGAGGTTTCTGCATGTGCACATTGGTCACAATTTGGAAGCATCCTGAGCCACAGGTTTAGAGTACATACCTGAATTTTGACAAATAGACGTATTTCAAAAAAATATTTACCTAGGTAAACCACGTTTGCTGTCAGATGTTACACAAGCACGGGTATCTATAAAATATTAGCAGAAAAGTTATGAATTTGAGGTTTATGCAAATTAGCAGCAACACTTTTGGCTATTAGCCCCATTAACTGGCTGATACAGTTTAATATTTGGTTTAGTTCTGCATTTTCTGAAACTATTTAGAAAATATTATAATCACTTTTTAAAAATGGTGCCTTTGCAGTCTGATATAAAACCACCACAGACAGAAATTAAGAAAAAACTCTTATACTGAAAAATTGCATTATGCACCATGTGAACAATTATACTGGATATTGCATATTAGTACTAGTGCAATTTTTTTTTTTTTTTTCCAGCTAATGAAATATGTCATGGTATCTTAGAAAAGGATCGTTATGTTCTGTGCAAGATATTAAACTGTTCATTGGTAGATTACTAGCAAGCCCAAATAATCAATTTCCTGTATTAAAATAGGTAAATTGGAGGTGTAAAGATTACTTTAATGACAGATACATGCAATTCACTGCTTTAAATTATTTAAAAGAAGATTTAAGAGAGAATAGCAAAGCCGATCAAAGATTTATGCCAAAAATGTGTCTGCATTTGTAATTGTTCTGTTTCAAAAAATTATTTTGCATATTGCACATAAACTGTATGTCCTAGGGAGCACAGACTGCCTCTAGAGACAGCATGGCAAAACGGGAGGCATAAAAGCAGTCCTGGCTCCATCTGCTGTCTGGTTTTTTTTTTTGTTGTTGTTGTTTTTTTTTTGTTTGTTTGTTTGTTTGTGTTTTTTTGTTTTTTTTCTTTTTTTTCATTCTCTCTCTCTATTTTTTTCTTGACACCTTCTTACTTGGGACATTTGTGGTACCTAGGTCCCATATTTCTTTGAACACTGACTGATTTTTTTAGCATACTTTTTCTGCTTTTGCCTGTGATTGAGGTAGTTTAATTTTGGGGAAAAAAATCCACTTTGTTTTGTGTTGCATTCATAAAAATTTCCCTACTGGAATTAGTCTTAATACTGAAATTTGGAAAATGGCTGCAAAACAGTAATAACACTCTGAGGTCAATCCTAGACTTCAAAAATTTTTACTGAGCTATGATCCTGAAAAGATGTACATCACTGTGCTTCTAAAACATAGTCCTACCTTAAATACAGGGCCCAGTTAAAATTTCCAAATGGGAAGTCTGACTACAGATTGCAGAAATACTGAAAATACAGTGTGGATGCTAAATATGTAGGCAAGAATGCAAGTAAGTCTTTGAAAAATTGATCTTTGCATTCTTGGGTCTTAAAATTAGTACTGAAAGCTCCAGTCATAGCTAAACATCAGAAAGGCATACTGTGACTGGAACTGATAGAAATTAAAATTTTATTATAGAGAGAATTTCTAAAAATTAGCAATTAACAAAAGATAATTGGTGAAATATATGGGCTTTTTTTTTTTTTTTTCAGAAAAGGAAGAACACTTATTCACCAGGATAGAGAATTTGCAAATATAATAGCAAATTAGTAATGCAGTTAGGCTACATAGTCAATATTCTAGAAAACACTACAGTTCATGATTCCTAATGAGTTTGTGACATAAGAGGTATAACCATTTTTGTGGTGTGTAAGTCTAGTTGCAGATTAGATGTCAGAACAAAAAACTTTATATCCTAACACTTAAAATGAGAAGATGAAACAAACAAAAAAAACACCCCAAACCCCCCAAACAAAACAAAATTAAAACAAAACAAAACACAAACAAACAAAAAAAACCCACAAAAAACCCAAGCAAACAAACAAAAACCCCGTAACAACAAACCACAAAGCAAACCAAACCAGAAACGGAGTTGGGGAGGTCTTTGATAAATGCCTACATTAACATAAAAAGTGAGTTACTTTTCTACAGCTTACTAAAGCAGCATATGCTTCTGGATTTTTGCAGTCTAGAAACCAATAATTTGACATTCTTTAAACAACCTCCCTTATCAGCAATAATTAAGATAAGAGACAAGTAAGATCTCTTTTAAGGAAGTGGTTATTTGCTGAAAAACAGACATTTGGTTGTTCCCAAACTGCTTGTGAATATCAGCTCAAGTGTTTCCAGCTGCAATAGAAGAGTTGGAGTGATACAGCTGTGAAATCATCAGCTGCCTTTTACTCAACAGGTCTGCAATTAAGGAGTCCCTTTTGTTGAAGCTGTTCCACAGGGAACTGCTGAATGCTTCAGCAGACGTAGTTCTTGAATGAGATAATTTCATGGAAGAAGAAAATATCTCAGAAAGTTAAATTTCATTCAGTTCAAAGTACTTCCTCTCCAATCCCAACCACATACTAAAAAAAGAGTCAGTCCTAGAGTTCAAGGTTTTATTATGTTAAATAATATAAAACATTATTATTATACTAAAAAAGTACAAATTTTAACCCATTTTTATGTAAGCACTCACACACAAAAAATTAATTAATGGTAATTTTTTATGTGTACTTTTGTAGTCTAGTTATTTTCAATTTTATTCTTATGTTAATGTTCTCACTTATTGGATTTTTCCTCATAAGAATCAAGCAAGTCATAGTGGTCATAATCTCCAGGTTAAGACAACTTAAAATATTGAGACAGTCTTCAAGGATGTGTTGCATCATGCTCAGTTCATATATTCCCCAAAGTATCTCTTCAAAAATTAGAATTAAAAGCATAGTATTATAAACAGAGATTAAGAAAGGGTGAGTGATTCAGTTGCTCATTCTGAGAAGATCTTCTCTGGCATCTTCTTTTTTTAAATTGATATTAAGGATTTTTACTGTGTAGACTCAATTCAGTTTATTGGTTTATTGGATCTCTTCCCCTGGACATGTTCCATTTCTTTCTGCTGGAGCTGTTCTGTTGAGGCTGAGGTTATTTCTGACAGTGTTTTGAAAGCGTATTATGTGTCCTTTTTTTCAATTTACAGTTCAGCTGCCTTGCATATTGAGGTTATTTTTCAGTATACCACATAAGCAATATATGGAAGCTGTATAATGACATATACTTTGCAAGCTACTTAGTTGCAAAAAAACCATTGAAAATACTACTGAGGAAAATGCATAACTAGAATGTTTTGTGAGCAAAATTCACCTCTGTATTCAAAATACTGTATCTTTTTGAATACTTCTCTTGAAGTATTCTCTATACAACGTACAGAAAAATATAGATTCTCTTCCTGTACACGTCACATAAAACGCTCATGCTGTTATCTGTTATCTGTGGTTACAGTTCAATCACTTGGCTCATTTGTTCTGTTACAGACGGTTCGCCATGGTTTCCCTTATCTACCCACTGCCTTAGCTTTTGACCCAGTTCAGAAAATTCTGGCAATTGGAACAAGAACAGGAGCCATACGAATGTATCCTTTCTCATTCAGAATTTACACCATTTCTATGTGTTTGTAATACAGTCATGTGAATTGCCTTCTACCAGCACTCAGGTAAGGTTACGGTTTATGTTATGTTCTGCTTCATTTTGCTTTACTAAATGGACTGGAAAAGGATGTGCTGTTGAGGAACTGACCAGGTCCTGAAGGTATCCAAAGAAAAATTTTTGATTGCATTTTTAGCACATGGATTTGGCATTTATTGGTTAATATAGAACCGAATCGATTATTTTCAGCGTGAAAAGAAAAGGTAGACAGCGAAGTGGTAATGAGCAAGTTGTGCACGTTGTGCTAGCAATAAATAAATTCATTGCTGCAATGCAGTTAACCAACTGTAGACATTTTTACTGTAGATATTTATGTGTGAAATTATTCAGACTCTTTCAAGTGAATGGTGGGAAATAAGTGATTTAGGACAGAACTCATCTCTTCCCAGAGGAGAAGGTGAAACACTGTAAAAGTACTTATTTGCTTTCATTAATAAAAAAAGTACTTCAGGGCCAGCAATTTATATGTTTTTTTTTATACAAGTAGCAATTTTAGGTTAGAACTCTACACAGAATAAATGTAATATAAAAGTAATGAAAATTTGAAGACTTTGATTTTTAAAAAATCTGAGAATATTTAAATGTGATATATTTCAAAATGTTCTTCTACATGATTTTCTTAGTTTGGCATGGTTCCGATGCATTCCAATTTGGTGAAAATGCATACAGAGTAAGGGGAAAAGGAGAAAGAATATTGAAGGAAAGTTTAAAAGTTACAGGATACAGAATTAATACACCAATATTTTTTATAAGCTTTTTGTAGCTGAATGTTTATAGTAGGGGACAATGTTGTATAAAATACCAATCTAATATTTTCTGGTGATTTTGTTTTCCCTGTTCCCAAGGTAACTATAAACCTGATAAATCCAAAGGCAAGTTACAAAATAAAGAAAAATCTCCTCCTGGAGAACCAGCCTGTGCTTCATGTAACATGATTAAAACTTATTTCCTCCATTTTTGTAGGAATTCTTGGCCTGAACAGTTGCATTTTCATAACCCTCATACTCTATCTGATCCAGAACTTCTCACAAGACTCAACTAAACTTCTAGTTATGTGACTAGCTTTGCTTTGATAGTTCTGTCCTTAATATTTGCCTATATGAAGTAGATAAAATAAATTCTTTTCAAGTATAAAGAAGAAAATCCCCTTAATTTGTGCACTTCTAGAAAAATGCAAGCCCAGTAGTCCAGTCATGCTTTCTTCTTTTTAGAGGTATGCAAGGTTAGAAAGCTGGAGCTTTGTGTCTGGAATTTTCATTGCTATCTTCTGTGAGTGAGGATATTGGGAATTTCATGAGTAATGCAGAGATAGGAAGAAGACCTTGGAGAAGATTGACTCCTGAGCCTACCTCTTCTTTCCATTTCAGCAATCTGGTTTTTCTAGGAGCAGTACTGTCACTGGCTCAGCATCCTGTATCTTTATAAATCCCTACTTTGAGAAAAATGCAGATAAAGAGCCTGAATTAATACAGGTTCATATAAAATTAATTTAAACCTGCATGTCTCCATTCACACAATTTCATTCTGCCTTGAATATGATAGGTAACAAAAAACAACTCATTCTATACATACGTTGTGTTTGGCTGGTGCTTCTAAACAGTGCTGTGAATAGGTTGAAAGGACAGACTATTTGGCTACCATCAGAGAAATTAACCCAATTATTTCTTTGTTTTTTTATTGGTATCACCAAAAGGGCCCGGTTTGGATCATGCTCTGTTGTGCAGGGCAACCCAAAGGCATAGGAAGACTGAGTTTACGTTGAGTATTCATGCAATGATGTAGAACAAGTTTTCCTGTGACCAGTGTAAGTCACAAAATGGTATTGTTGCCTCCTTGTTTTTCTAAAAGTTTCACAAAGCATTAGTGTTTCGGTTGGTCAGAAGTTAACAGGTCTCAAAAGGCAAGCTGTTAGAAAAAAAAAAAAAGTAGTGTGTACTTCTGTGTTGAGAATTAATGTTTAACATCACGCCTTCAGGTGATCATTTCAAGTGATCCAGCAGCACTGCTGAAATTGACTATGCTAAATTGGCCTGAAATAGAGTAGATTATTCATAAGTTGCCATTAGAATACAGAGATAAATGAAAGTTCATTTTGGTATGACAGTCAATTTGTCCTTTCCTAGATTTCTTTTCAGGGTGCTTAGATGCAACTGCTCTAGCTTCTATAGCACTGGGAATTGCTGTTGCTATGCTCTACCGATCCTAGCAGTCTCTGTGGGATCCTCAAGGAACTTCAAAAGCCAGGGAAGGTTTTACCTACAGTGGTGGCTGCTGGGTACTGGACCCTCATAGGGACACCTGTGCTCTAGCCCACAGAATGAGACTGCACTCCAAATCATCAGTGAAGGAGTATCTTTCTATTACCAGCACAAGCTAACAAAATCTACAGATAAACAGCCAAAACCCCACTCCTGAAGCAGTTGCTATGGCATCTGGTTGTTCTTTTCCTTTGTCCTAAACACAACATTTATTTCCCCTCTGAGGTCTTTTCTCCTGTTTGAAACCTTTTCCCAGTCCCATATCTTTGATCATTGCTCAGATCATTGCTGATACCACTCTACCTGGAATACCCTTGCTTCAGCGAAACACATTCAGTTGAAGAGGGGCTATAAAATGGAATTCCTTTTCTTATTGTCTCCATATCCTTCTTCTCTAGTCCCAGTCTGGAGAGTCTTCTGATGCTACACACAGTAAAACAAAGTCTCTGGTTAAGAGGAGGTTCTGTATCACCTTAGAAGGAGATGAGAAATTACATAGTTGTTCAGACTGAAATCTCTTCTTCATTTCAGAGGCAAAAGAGAAGTCTTGGGGTTTGTCACAGTCTCAGTTTGAACATATAGATTAAAATAAGCTTTGATAACTATGATATTCCAGTAAAAGATCTGAAGAAGTGGCATGCTGTGCTCAAATTTCATGATGTGTATTTCAATATTATTATTTATTCAACTGGCAAATGCTTGTTAAAATTCATGATAGGTACTTTCTGGAATCACCAAGTCCTCTCCCTCGGAATTCTTCCATTACATCAAAGGTGGGCTTAGCCAGTACAGTCACTTACTTCAAACACAGAGAATACAATATCTACATATTTTGGTATTGAGGTGCTGATTACTTAGTGGTCAACTGCAGCAAGATATTCTGAAATAGACTCCTATAGCTATTATCTTCTTCTCTTATTATTAAGTGAAAGTTTATCTTAAATGCAGTGCAAAGTAAACAGCCGACTGGGTCGAGAATGGCTTCCACACCACTGCAAGCTTATTCCCCATCAAACAGGTTTAAATTAGTAATATGTTTTTGTACATATTATAGTGTTGTATTTTTTTGTCATTAATATGTATTCTTCAGACTAATGGGCTCCATATTGTCATGGATGCAGGTTATGAGGCATGCAAATCCTCATTTTCTCTCTTTGTTGCTTAAGCGGAAATGGCCATTTTATACTTGAGCAAACAAAATTATTCTGACTCACTAACACATGAAAGTGGAAGTGTTGCTCTGCCCCCGCCTTTCACTCCACTGCACAGTCCTGACACTTTTTTTGCCCTGATTCTGGTGCTTATCAGATATTTCTGTGAGCAATCCAATGCACTAACCTGGCAAAATACTTTGCTAGGTTACTTTTTTTGCCAGATTAGTGAACTGAATTATCTGTTGTTACCTCTGACGTTAGTCAGAATGATGCAAAGAAACTGGAAGGAGTGCACAGTTGGGACTGGACAGAGAGAAATGGGAGAGCAACAAAATTTTGGCACTAAGGAGCAGGTTATTAAATTGACTTGTCATACTGTGTGAAATTGCAGCTGAGAAATCCAGCTATGGGAGACTGGAGCTGTCTGTGAAATTTGCTACAAAATGTAAAAATAGCCTTTCAATTTTGAGTGGTATGAAACATAGCATCTCTTTTGCTTACATTTAAAAAATCTTACCATGAAGCTATTTCCAAAACACAAAAATTCTTACAGATTCTGCTCAAGAAAGATTGTGCTTTAGGATTATATTTGGAATAATTTTTTTTCTGGCCTGTTTTATGAGTTTCTTCCAATGCTTTAATAGCGGAGTGATTTTTGAATCACACTTGGTATTGACAGTCAAATAAGGTACAGCAACACTTCTTTTAATAAGTACATTTTGTGAAAAAACAAACATGACTTCAAGAAGGCCAATGGCATCCTGGCCTGTATCAGCAATAGTGTAGCCAGCAGGACCAGGGCAGTGATTGCCCCCCTGTATTCAGCACTGGTCAGGCCACACCTCGAGTCCTGTGTCCAGTTCTGGGCCCCTCACTTCAAGACAGACATTGAGGTGCTGGAGCATGTCCAGAGAAGGGCAACAGAGCTGGTGAAGGGTCTGGAGCACAAGTCCCATGAGAACCAGCTGAGGGAGCTGGAGATGTTTGGCCTGGAGAAAAGGAGGCTCAGGGGGAACCTTATTGCCCTCTACGACTACCTGAAAGGACAAGAGGAAATCGCTTTTGGTTGTGCCAGGGGAGATTTAGATTGGACCTTAACTGGAAAAATTATTCCACTGAAAGGGTTGTTAAACCCTGGAACAGGCTGCCCGGGGAAGTGGTTGAGTCACCATCCATGGAGGTGTTCAAAAGTCATGTAGAGGTGATGCTTAGAGACATGTTTTAGCGGTGGACTTGTTAGTGCTGGTCTAATGGTTGGACTCAATGGTCTTGGAGGGTTTTTCCAACTTAAATGATTTTATGAAATTTTCTTTGTTCTCTCTGTGAAACAGCCAGTAATCATATCTTTGATTAGCGTGCCAAGTGAAGGGGAAGTGGAAATCTAAACCCAAGGTAGCTCTACTGAACAGCATGGTTCCTCAGCAGCTGATGTACACAGAGAGACTGTATTTCTGGGAGGCAGAACTGAAGCTTTTCTTGCACTCTAGAAAAAAAAAAAATCCGGCAAAGAAAAT